CTACAGCACCAACGTCAGCACCGAAAACCCGAACACTGTTCCCCTCTAAATACAGGACTATTTGCCTCAATTGAAGCAGCAAACAAAAATGCGCAAGCGAAGTCGACGCTCGGAAGAGGCGACAAAACTATAGTGGGTGGGCATATTCAGTACCCGCCCCCTTCCTGTAGGACAAACACTTCAGGGGAAAAACTTGATGTGCTTAGGGCATTCCATTCTACGCAAAAAAAAAAAAGTAACTGAAGCATACGAGTGTACAAAAGTTACTCAGGATGAACACATAGCTGACAACACCAATACGCAACCATATCGTACGGGCAAAACAAAAATATATATTCATAGAGTAAAGGAAAAAATATAAAACAAAACAATTATTTGTACCCTAAACGTATCCCATTTTTGCTCGATAACAATTACTTACTATCCTAATGTAAAAAACGACTCTCATAAATTAAAAAGAAAAAAAAAAGAAACAGAAACAAAGGTAAACAGAGAAACGAAGTAAATGCCACAAAAAAAATAAAAACTATCCTCCAGACAGCTCCGATTGAAACTGAGTAAATAGCTAAACGCTTGAAAATTAAAAAAAAATTTGCTCACTAGCTAAAAGCATAATTTTTTTACTGCTTCAAAAATGCTTCAATCAACTAAATATTACCGTCTCCCACCTCTTACCAACTCTCATAAATATAAAAATACTCCTACATTCACCAACACTGCACAGACCCTAGTGCTAAAAAAGCAGTTTACTAGGTCATTCCACACAAAATCGCCCAGTTTTTTCAGCTCATATATCAAAAAATTTGTTTTTTTAAATTGCCGATTGAAACAGCCAAAATTCGGATTCAAATACCAGACAGAGAGAACCTAGAAAAGTGATTCTTCGCTAAGTTATGACCCGACATAGTTCAAAAGTTTCAAATTTTCTTGTCCAACATGGTCTTATTTCAGATGCTGTAACTTTGCTACCTGTTAACAAAACTTATTTGGCATTCAAATAAAAGTATCAATTTTTCTAAACTCAAAACAATAATCAATTAATAAAACTTTTGGCTAAAAATTCCTTAGGTATACAAAAATAAGACATTCAATTATGCTGTTGAAAAAAACATATTTGAAGAAATTTTTTAAACGAAACAGATGGCGTACAAAAATCCCCAATTTAGCAAATGAAACAACTTCCAAGAAAGGCTTTCGTTAAATTTGGAGATATGCTTGATGAGTCACAGCAGACAATTCTACCACATTCCAGCAAGATCGCACATCTAAGCTGCTTCTCAACTTTTTATGCTACGTCTGCAATTTAATGCCGAAAAATTGTAGAATTACCTCACCAAATTTGCCTTGTTGACAAATTAGCAAAAAGCAGTGATAATACAAGAAATTTAACCGAAGTAAATATCATCAATTTCTTGTCTTCCACTCATTTTCAATTCCAAAACTTTTCATAAAAACCGAATTGATGCCGGTACTCTTTTTGCTCTTCATTTGAAACAAGAAGTATGGCTTCAGAACTGACATTAAAAACAATGTGTGAAATAACCGAAAAGAAAAACATTTCTCAAAACAATAAAGAAATATTAAAAACTGAAACTTATGAAATTTTTCAATAAAAAGCAAGAAACTGATCTAACAAGATTTGGAGATCAGCCTAGATGTTTGCTATACTTCCAACTCCCTTGATTATTTTTGTCTTGTGTCTTTCTTCAGCACCTGTTTGATGCTTAAATAAACGTTTCCTAATACACCATAAGTAAATGAATATATATAAATATAAACATAAATATAAATATAAATATAAATAAATATATACATAAATATAAATTTTCCTGTTCGGAAAATTTTTAACTGTTACGTACTCAAGAACCTCACTGGCGCATTCACCGTCCAAATAAACATCAATTTTTTTTTTTTAAGAACAATAAGTTATTCATTCTTAGAGTTTTCATCCAAACAGATGCAAAGCATTCGCTTTTTAGCAGGTACTCTTAAAAGTGCTCACAGAATCAAATGAACCCCAATCATAATTTGCCGCTTAATTCGGTTTCAGTTTTCCAGTCAGTAGATGACATTTTAACAGTAAACTTCAGTTATTGAAATGAATAACATCTACTTCAATAACCAAAAGATAAAGATGAAAAAGAAAGCGCAAAAAATAAAAATAAAAATAAATAAATAAATAAATAAATAAATAAATAATAATAATAACAAAATAATAACAAAAGAAACTAACTTGTGAGCACAATTCTCAGTTTGGGAGTTGAGTAAACCATTTTCAACTGCAGAAATTTTCATTGAGTAGACGACGAACACTGTTGATACTGGAAGAAACGATGAACACAACCTGTAATAATTAAGTGTCTCAGAATCAAATAGGCATACGTACACCGGCAAACACATACACACACTGATCGCCTACAAAATGAAAATTACGCTAAAGGGTCGCGTCTTTCATAAGCGATAAATATGAAAAAGACAAGCGCCAAACCTTTTTTTTTTTCAATTATCTATTCAAAAAGTGTCAAAACTTGAAAGAACAGAGGTATATTTATGAAGAAAGAAGAAAATCAAGAAAACAATTTGCAAAGATCCCTAGATGCAGGTCAACAACAACAGAAAAAAAAAAAGATAACGATAAAATTGAGTCTTCTTTTTCTTTTTTCTGACTGCAACCGCAGTTTGGAACAGATGCAGCTGCAACGTGACATCAACCACTCCAACTACTGGTCGTATAAATGAACCGATCGAAAATTGTTGGATGAACATTTAACTGCAAATTCAACGATGCAACTTCCACAGTATTTTCAAGACGGTTTTTCTTTTCCTCCCGGCTTATCTTCTGTTTGTTCACACCTTATCCATAGACCAATTTAAGTAACACATTTACAGTTGCCGATTTATGCATTTGCTAGATGAAGTGAAGGGAAGAAAAAAGTATAACCAACAAAC